TAATATAGGAGGGAACATCCCTAACAATAGTACTCATGGACTCATATTGGTAAGAGATGAGAAACGATTAACTTGGGCGGATTTTGAACTACCCCCCCATTTGTGGTGGGTGGCTGGCTGGTCCTAGAGCTTCCCCGCAGCCATCCCTGTAGCACTACGCCAAACCCAAAATCCCGAAGCCCCATGGGTGGTTTCAGTGTTAGGGACCCTAAACCCTACCAACTCTAAACCCTAAACCCTAAACCCTAAACCCTAAACCCTAAACCCTAAACCCTAAACCCTAAACCCTAAACCCTAAACCCTAGGGACTTCGTCTGCTAGGCCACCGCGCTGCGAAGATTCCCGCTGCACTGCCCGCCAAGATCTGAGTCTGAAGAGCCTTGGACCCTCCCTCCCCCCCACCCCCCGGGCTTTCAGGGTTTAGGGGGTTTAGGGTTTCGGGTTAAGGGCTGCGGTTCAGGGCTTCGGGTTTAGGACTCCTGTTGTCCTGCAGAAGGATTTTTTATGTATGGCATGTTGCGATAAATGAGGGGTGCCACTATTTTGGGAAATGGCCAGGTTGTTTGCAGTCCGCTCTCACATAGCATGGCCACTAGCGCATGGGCAGGCTCCAGTAGCCTCAACCCAACAAACACACGGATACCTTGGCCCATCTTGAAACCACTAGCCTTGGGACGTTCCCCCTTATTACTAACAGTCCTTAATCGGGATTATAGTACCCCCCCCCCCCCCCCCAATATATTCCCTGAATTAGTAAAAGGGGAACATCCCAGCACTAGGCACTAGCCATACTCGCCCCAGAGCTCTCCCTCGTCCCCAGCGGACGCAGAAGGGTTTAGGGTTCCCAAAGAGCCCAAGATTGCTTAATTAAGGAATATACCTTAAATCATATTAAGGATCCCTAGATGATTTAAGGAATATTCCTTAATTAAGCAACATTGGGCTCTTTGGGTTTAGGGTTTAGGGTTTAGGGATACAGGGTGTGATGTCCTATACCTTTATTTGCCTGCAGCGGGGCTTCGCTTGAGGGTGTGCCCGACGATAGGCCAGACGGGAACCTTAGACCCTAAACCCTAAACCCCCCCAACCCCCCACACCCCCCAAACCCCCTAAACCCCCTAAACCCCCTAAACCCCCGAAACCCCCGAAACCCCCTAAACCCTCTAAACCCCCTAAACCCCCTAAACCCTAAACCCTAACCCTAAAACCTAAACCCTAAACCCTAACCCTCTCAGGCTTCGGCTAAGTCGACCATTTGCACTTGGTGCACGCGGGCGCGGCAGGCAAAACCAATTCGGTGAAATACGAGTGCTGGACACATACACAGCTTGAACCATTCTACCTTGAAACGTGTTGGTCGAAGATGCCCTGAATGTTGGCCAATTTTTCGAAGCAAACTTCAGACTAGAACAGCTGGCAAACCTTGCACTTGTAGCCATGGCGACGCCACAATCGCTACTTCTTCTGCTCAGTCTGTTGCATCGGGAGCAGAATAACCGCGGGGACGCAGCTTTCCTGCCAAGCAAGATCCTCGCTCAAGCACTCCGACTCTCTTAATTTCTCCGACAACCCTAAACCCTAAACCCTAAACCCTAAACCCTAAGCCCATAGGTTGCTCTTATTCCTAGCCAAAGATACCCACACAGATTGAAGTTGGCACATAACGATTGGCCACGCAAGCTCTACAGCTGGCTATCTCACTCGGAACATAGTCAGCACCCTGAAACCTCAACCCTCAACCCTTTTTGAGCACGGACTGAGGAAGCTGCCGGCAACCTGATAGCAGAGCCTTCCCTAAGCCCGAAACCCTTGTAACATCTTGTAACGAGCTCCTGGTTCGGGCTAGAGCTTTGCTCTCGTCCGGAGGTTGCAGCAACCACTAGCGACATTAAGTATTCAGGGTATGTAGCGATACTGAGTAATTAGGCGCGAATGGTCCTCTTTTTTTGCGGGGGGGGGGGGGGGGGGGGGGGGGGGGGGGGGGTCCGTTTCAAGAGTGTTCTACATCAGAGCACCACAGCATTTTGTGTTCATGAACGCCCGCAAAGGGTGAACCGCTCGGATAAGTACTTGCAGGGTGTCCCAGCAGTGAACACATCTTGCCTGCAACAGGTTCCATCACGCTATGCCAGAGAGCTCTGCATATTCTGTCTGAGTGTTGTGTCATTTGCCATGCAGAAGCCAACTTTTGCCAGTATGTAGTCATGGATAGTCGAGGCACGAAGGTGTGGCGCTATCAAGGCATCAACCAGCACTACAGAATAAAAGCCCGATAGACTATGTGCCCTCGCCCAAACCTTTTAAACTGTGGCTGCAAAAGTATGCAACTGGTCTTCGCCGTTAGAGTCCCCAGTCCAAGTGTGGATGTTTGCACCCTCCCGGTCAAACTGAGCAACACTAAGCAGACTATCCAAGCACAAGTCTATATGTAAGTTTAGCAGTGGGCGGAAGTTGGAGGGAGATTACCTGCGCACGTACGGAGGAACAGAAGAACCGATGAGCCTCACAGGTAGCATACAAAAGGTTTGAAGAAAAGCCTCGAAACACCGGTGTCTAGAGCTTCCAAGCCTCAACAACGCATTTGATGCCAAAGCATACAATATGTAGCTAACCCCAGTTAACTTAATCGGCGTCTGCCACAGCTTTCAGACACTTGACGCTGATGCCAGTCCACATGTCTGCAAGAGATCGACCCTCTTGCGCATATCCGGCGCGAGGCTGAAGATCTAGACTTCATAGGGATGAGTTTATAGGGCTAAACGTGTGCCATGTGCCCTATTCAAAAGTGCTTCGGTTCAGACAGTTTTTTATCATACACAATATCGAAGCAATGCTGAGACCCAAAGCCCCCGCAAGCTGCAGGCATGATGCTACGGGGCAGTATGCTCTCGGGATATTGGGAACAAACATCCATAGGCTTTCTAAGTTACAGCCTTGGGGTATTGCCTGACGTGCGCGAGCTCAGCTGCTCCTAAGCAAAGCCGCCGCGGAGATGCGTGTTCTCGGGAGCTATGCCGACTCCGACTCGACCAATGCCAGTTGCTTTCTCGGAGTGGTTTCTTGCTCCCTTCGTATGGGACCTAAAAGGGTACCCCTTATATACCCCTTACATACCCTCTACAAAGCACTGGCCCATACATCCCCAAGAAGGCCCCCCCCCCCCCCCCCCAAAATTTCGGAAACCCCCATCCCTTTTGCAACAGGCTTCGCAGTTCGCCTGGATCCCTAAACCCTAAACCCTAAACCCTAAACCCTAAACCCTCAACCAACCCTAAACCCTAAACCCTAAACCACATCTGAAGCACCCTGGTCTCGGTCTCCTTCGGCCAAGGCTTTCGAGCCGCCCACTGGCATATTTCTAGGGGTACTTCCATGGTCCCTTAGTGGGTTTAGGGTTTAGGGTTTAGGGTTTAGGGTCTAGGGTTTAGGGTTTAGGGTTTAGGGGTAGTTACATGGTCCCGTAGTATGGGCCCTTAAAAGGGGACCAATGGGTTTAGGGCTTAGGGTTTAGGGTTTAGGGTTTAGGTAGTATGGGCCCTTAAAAGGGGACCAATGGGTTTAGGGCTTAGGGTTTAGGGTTTAGGGTTTAGGTAGTATGGGCCCTTAAAAGGGGACCAATGGGTTTAGGGCTTAGGGTTTAAGGGTAGTTACATGGTCCCATAGTAATGGGCCCTTAGAAGGGTGCCCACCTTAGATACCCCTATACAAATTAAGGGCCCGTACATCAGAACCCTTTCAACTAGGCTTTGGAGTAGACCCTGAAAAAAAAGGTATATACTTTTTAGGTATAAGTAGCTATAATAGGAACCCAGAACCAAAAAAAGTATTAAAGTATAGTACTCCAAGACCTAGTCAAGGAGGTTAGGGACCATGTATCAAGGGCCCATGAAACTACCCTCAGATTGGTCGTCCGCTGCAGTCACCTAAGCTGGCATCATGAACTCAAACTTGCTCGGGATTCTATACGTTGAGGGCCAAATGAACCTCAAAGGGTTTATGGTTCAATAACCCAGTATAATTATTGGGATAGTTGTTTCGGGTATATGACCCAATTGTGGGGTTCGTTTGGTCCCCAGGGTGTGGCCCGTAGTTAGCATTGCCTGCGCTACACGAAGTCTTTGCTTGGGGTCAAGCTAATACCTTACTAATTCTTAAAACTGAAGCCCTAGGCCCTAGACCTTCACGACTCAAGCCAATCCTGTATAATCCGATCCTTGATCCGTGGGTACGCCTCTATCATGTGACCTTCTTGCGCTTCTACCCCTCTTCTGATAGGCATCGGAACCTTGCGGCATCGCCTCCTGCTTTGCCGCCGCCTTTCCGCAGGAGTTCCACGGGGCGATAGATGTTGGGGATATAGGCCCTCCTACTTTATAGTCTTGAACTCCAACTACGTTGGGTTGCAAGAAAATATCAAGTCCCTGAACCCTAACTTTTCGTGAAGCCGCAGCGCATGGGGGGGTGTCCAGGTTGTCAAGGCTTGAGTCTATTTGTAAGGTGATCCAAGTGAAGCCCCAGACTTATACCGGAATCCTGAGCCACTGAACCTCAGGGGCCAAACACTTCCGTCTATGGACAGCAACCCCCAGCGGTTTTGAAGGGTTCTGGGCAGACTCGGCAGCGTGCTCACGAACGTTTTTTTTCTTCTCTTATTTTCACGCGCGCAGCTTTCTAATCGCCCAGGTGCTCTTCTGTCCAGAGGACGAATGAACAAGATGTTCTGTAGTGGGCCTTTGTCCAGAGGTGCAAGACAAGTATGCTGGTAAGAAGTCGTCGTCGCGAGCTAGTCTCAGCTTATCATACAATTTGTCAACTATGAATCTATTGCTATCCACAATCCTATCCGAACACTTTTCAAGTCCGGAGACATTGAACCTTGAGACCGCAAAGCCTACCCTCTCTCCCTTAAGCCCTAAACCCGATGGAGTGAACGGGTACTTCTTCACGTCTAGTCCGCAAAAACCCTAAACCCTAAACCCTAAACTCTAAACCCAGTGGACTCAGAACTTGTGCGAAATCTTGGAGAATGCCAAGGCTGCACCTGCTCATGGCTCGCACCGCGCCTAGTACCCCTTAATTTGAGGGATCAGGGCTCAGGGTTTGGGGCCCTAAACCCTAAACCCCCAACCCTAAACCCTGAAAACCGAAAACCCTAAACCCTAAACCCTAAACCCCCAACCCTAAACCCCGAAACCTAAGTCAACAAGGTTTAGGGTTGGGCTGCGGGCCTCAACCTTCTGATAAGCTAAGGTTCTCCAAGTCAGGAACCCTAAACCTTAAAGCCTAAACCGCAAACCCTAAACCCTAAACCCTAAATCCCAAACCCTAAACCCTAAACCCTAAACCTCTCTGTCACGCAATGTGTGGAGATCTGTTGGTAGCCTGGCAGTTCTCATCATGAACAAGCCTAGGTCCTGCATCTACTCTAAACCCGAAGCCCTGCAAGACCCAAGAATTACGGTTTACTTGGAGGTTCATGGGCAGTTGTAAGTAGGGTTATATAAGTTCCCTTAATGACGATATAAGTACAGTTGCCATACTTAGAACCCTGCTTATAAAGAAATGGCCCACTCAACATGCGGATCGTGGGGCTTAACAGTCTTTTGTGCGCGAAAGAGGAACCTCCACAAACTGGACGGCATCGTATACTGCAGGGGTTTAGAGGGAACCCAACTGAACTAAAACGAGAATCATGGTTTGATGAAGCACCAACAACACAAACACCGAACATCCCAATCGGCGCTAACCTAAGCCCACATGACAAGGAACAAGCTGCAGACATACATGTGCACGCGAACAAGAACAAAGAAAAGCGCACAGACACGTCAACCTTGCTTAGAAGCCGCTCCTGTCCAGGACTTGTCCTGCACCTTTCTGCAAGTAAGCGGTCAACACCGTCTGGTGTAAACCTGGAAGCCTGCTCTAAACCCTAAATCCTAAACCCTAAACCCTAAACCCGTTTGGAGTGTAGCAACCTCAAAACCGCGCAACTCGTAACATGAGGGAGGTGAATTGACCCTAATCCCTAAACCCTAAACTTCCCTCAACCCTTAACCCTTAACTTTTAACCCTTAACCCTAAACCCTAAACCCAGAACCCTAAACCCAGAACCCTAAACCCGAAACCCTAATCAACTTCGGAGGCCTGCCACCAAGAGGAGGTTGAGCACAAAGTGGCCAAACACTGCCATCAGCGCATGGGACAGGCCTGCAGATTAGGGTTTAGGGTTTAGGGTTCGCTGTCATGATGCGATGATGGTACGTCGCACAAGGTGCTTGCTCTGCTTACTGGCAGACGCAACTTCGATCTTGCCCAAAACCCTAAAACTCCCGTGGGATGTTCCCCCTTTTACTATAATTACATAGGGTGTAGGGTTTAGGGTTTAGGGCTTAGGGTTGGTATGGATTCATAATAGCGGGTACTCTTGTGCCCTAGCAGGGACTGCCAACCCGGACCCCCCCCCTAACCAACAAAACAACAATATTCTTCCTTCTAAGTTAAGGCTCATGGGATGGCTTTTGGGGGGGGGGGGGGGGGTTCTTAAGCAAAGGCTGCTCTTTTTGGTTTAAAGGGGCTTCTAAGAAAACCTACACTCCAAAAAGGGGAATAGAGGCCTATTCTGAGTCCTAGAACCCTGAACCCTAAGCCCTCTCTCTCTCTCAGGCATTCGAAACGTCAAGCCTGCCAGGTACAGCCCTAAGCCCTAAACCCTAAATCCAAAAGTAGGGGATAGGATTAAGGGGACCCTTGGGGATATAGACCCTCTGAATAAGGTCCCTGCTTAAGAGAGCAAGAAGAGGGTTAAGAAGGGGTTCCCTTTTGAGGGTCCCCCTTATCCTACCTAGGAAAAAGGCGGTGAAAGGGGTGCTGGCGCTCTCTGGCAAGCCTGAAGCTTTGTAGCTCATCGTCTCAGCGACCGGGTCCTTGCCAAAGGCATTGGGTTTAGGGTTTAGGGTTTAGGGTTTAGGGTTTAGGGTTTAGGGTTTAGGGTGTGGGCGCTTTGGCGTTTAGGGTTTCGGGTCTAGGGTTTTGCCTCTCACACTGCCCCAAACAGCACTTGCTACAGACCCCAAGGGTTTAGTCACAAGATGGCTAGGTTGCTGCATCCGGCCTGCATCCAATAGAAGAAGAGCGGGTGGTTGGCCTGGGCACAGCCCTTTAGGGTTTAGGGCTTCGGGTTGAGGCAGTCTCCACACCCTCCACTGGCTGAAATACACGTTTCGAGCGTCAGAGTCTGGAAGTCCTATGTCTAGACAAGTACCCAGATTTGTCACCTTCCTCTTCCCGAAAGTCAGGAACCCCCCCCCCCCCCCAAAAAAAAAAAAACAAAACAAAACAAATACCAAGGATCCTTCATCGGCTTTTCGGAGTGCCATTCTTTTTTTTAGAGGTACGGCTAAGGATGCTTGCTTCAGTGTGTGTAATTCACCCTAAACCCTAAACCCCAAACCCTAAATCCGAAACCCTAAACAATTCACTTACCTAAGAGACGCTGGAAGTCTTGGATAGGCGCCTTGATGTTGTATGCCGCCTCGGCCTGCTGCACTGCAAGTCGGAAGAACTGCCTCCAAAAGAGACGAACTCTGTCAAGGACACGACCACAAACGACTGAGGGGTTTACGGTTTAGGGTTTAGTCGTACGAAACTCTGACAACAGGTGTATGGAGTTGGGAAGGCGTTCGGCTTCGACGCTTGGGACACCGGCGCATTTCGCCCAGTTGGAGGGCTTGCAGCCGGTGTAAGAGCTTGGGGCATGCGCCCCTTGCAAGAAGAAGCTTCCTTCCTACGTGGCACAGTCGAGCACTGCAAAATCTGCAAACCCTTTTTTGCATCCGGAATTTGGCAGTCGGCCGGGAATGGAAGCACACATCTGCAAACCCTAAACCCTAAACCCTGAACTTCTTAGCCCTAAACCCTAAACCCTAAGCCTTAAGCCCTAAGCCCTAAGCCCTAAACCCTGAGCCCTAAACCCTAAACCCTAAACCCTAAATTCTTGGAAGCCCTGGTTCGGCTCGGCCACTGGTACCTGCCGCAAGGCCGCCCACATTCAACAGCTTAATCCCAGCCGAGATTCCCAACTCGAAGCCCGAAGGCTTTGACCCCGAAACGCCCAATCCCACCCTAAACCCTAAAAACTCCAAACCCTGAACCCTAAACCCTAAACCCTAAACCCCAAACCCTGAACCCTAAACCCTTCCCAACCCCAGTGCCGCCTCTGGTCATCGCGCATCAGCCGGAGGCCCGCCCTGGCCTTGGTGTTCTTGTACCTGTGCCGGAGAGTCCCCAAAGAGCCCTAAAGCCTAAACCCTAAACCATCCCTTGATGAAGGAATGTAGCTTAAATCATAGTAAGGGTCTCCAACATGTTCTAAGGTATAGTCCTTAACCCAGGGGTTATGATGGGCTCCCTGGGTCTGTCTATATGCGTATGTACATCTGCAGATTATATATATATATATGCACATATATATATATATATGTGTGTGTGCATGTATGTACATATGTGTATAAGTGTAAGCTATACAGTGCATACATACATATACATACATACATCCTACACACAAGCTATGTATGTATGTACGAATGTATGTATGTACGCATGTATACATGCAGATATGTGTGTGTGCTGGGAAAGAGAGATATACATATATAGACAGAGAGGCCCACAGACAGAGAGATGGCTTGTGTGTGTGTGTTTGTTTGTGTCTAGCTGCTTTCCCAGCAAAACTGTTTGGGATGAGCTGTGAATAAATCTTAACATGTTCGACCCCAGGTTTGTGGTCTCGACCTAGTTAGGTCTCAACGTTTCGGGTCTACAGGGCTTAGGCGAATGCAGAACTCTACGCCCCCGAAACCTAAACCCTAAACGGAGGCCCCTAGGGCCCTGAACCCTAAACCCTAAACCTTCATCCGGGGCACTCTCCGCACCGAAACTCGCCCTGCGCACCACCTGCAGAAGCTGGGCCGAAGCAAGCTTTCCAGGTTTAGGGTTTAGGGTTCGGGGTTTGGGGTTTAGGGTTTAGGGCTAAACGGCCTACCATGGGTTCCCACCACCCCCCTCTATACTACCCGCCCCCCTAACTTCCACCCTTAAAGAACCTTGATCAACTAGGCTTAGTTACTCCGAAATAGTCTTAACTATGGGGAGAACGGTAATTAGCAAGGAGAGGGGTGGCGGGGGACCCATGAGTTTCGGGTTTAGAGTGGGCAGGCTGGGAACATCAACCTACGTAGGGGATAAGGTTAGGGGGACCCTTGGGGATATAGACCCTCTGAATAAGGTCCCTGTTTAAGAGAGCCAGAAGAGGGTTAAGAAGGGCTCCCTTTTTGAGGGTCCCCCCTTATCCTGCCGAGGAATTCGGGTTGAGGGGCCAGCACCAGTCAGACTTGGGGCTTTTGCCTCATGAGGGGGTAGCCTGTACTGGGTTCCTACAATCAGTGTTCTTAAACACCGGGCCTAAACCCTAAACCCTAAACCCTAAACCCTAAACCCCCCTCACTACTGGTAGCGGAACGCTAGGCCCACCCTCCCAAACTGCTACACCAGGATGGGCTATTAGGCCTTAAAATCCTCATAATGAACCCTATAAAGGGCCTTTTAAGGAATTATAGGGAAAAATCGCCCATCCTGGTAGCGACGTGACTGCCCCCAACTTTGGAAAAAGAAGGTATCAAAGGCCTCTTGCCCGACATCACAAGTCCGCCAGCAAACCCAACATGGAGGCTGACGAAAACAAGGGGAACCCTAATATAGATGGCTAAACCCTAAACCCTAAACCCTAAACCCTAAACCCTAAACCTTGGGATAATTCCCTGACAGTTAGGACCCCAGCATGGTACCCCCCTAACATCGTAGACCTCCACATCCGGTCCAAGCGGCCGCAGCAGTTCACGCCGACTGCCCAGAAGTCGTAGGATGAGAGGGGCGCATCCCCACTGATGATGGGAGCCACGCAGTACCTCCAAACCCTAAACCCGAAACCCTAAACCCTAAACCCTAAGCTTAGGGCTCCAAGGGGTCTAAGGAGGCGGACCTTGGGATGTTTCAACCCTTATACTAACAGCCCTTAGTAGGGATCATCCCTTTGAAGGGCTGGTAGTATAAGGGGGAACATCCCATGGCTGAGGTTTCTACTTCCGACGTTGTGCCCCTTACAGGGCCAGGGTGGCGGCCTTACAGTGATCAGCATACCGAACATTCTGTCCCAGCTTTCAAGCCCCACATGCCTCTCCAGAACCCCCAAAATGAAACCCTGAGCCCCCCTGAACTAAAACAAACTGAATATTCATTCTTATGAATTCATCCGGAACTAGAGCAAACTGACTAGTCATTCTTATGAAAGAATCCTAAAAAATGTTCCCCAATGAAAGCCGCAGAGCCTGTCCAAGTTCTTGAAGGTACCCCCCCCCCCCCATTTTCAGAAACCCCCCATATGCCTCTCCAGCCCCCCCAGAAGAACTCAAAGCCCCCTAAACCCTAAACCCTACACCCTAAACCCTAAACCCTTTTGACCGCAAGAAGCCTCTCCAAGTTCTTGAAGGACATGGACTTGCCCAGGTCCAAGGTCGCGCCATCCTCGAAGTAGACGCGGCCAGCGTCCATCAGCTGCTGCCCTTAAGGGGTATAGGGAGGGTTTAGGGTTTAGGGTTTCGGGTTTAGGGCTTAGGGTTTAGGGTATAAGGGTCACTCTTCGTGTGGTTGAGGACTTCGGGTTGATGAGGCCGGGTTTTGTAAGGTATTTCGGGTTTATAGGGCCTAGGCTCCTTTGGCGAGCAGTTTCATGTGGCCTCATTTCCACAATGATTTGTGCAATGTAGGTTTTGCGGTTGCATGCTCCACAGTCATGAGCGCAACCCCCCCCCCCCCCCCGAAAAACAAAGAAAAAAACAAAAAGAAACGGAACCTCCCACTAGTTCTCCCTGCTTGCCCCTCCCTTTGACATCCGGTAAGTTGATGTTCTCGATATCCTTACATGTCGTCAGGCATCAAAAAAAATGACTTAGATAGATAAGGGACTAGCCTAAGGGGCCATAACTTAGATGGATGAAGACTCCATCCCAACATGGAAAAACAAACAGCTGAAGAAGCATGCTTGCACGGCCACCGCATAATACTACAGCATGTTGCGGGTGTGAAGGCGGTGGGGGGGGGGGGGGGGTCCTTACCCCTCAGCCAAAAGCCCGAAAACCAGAAAACATCTTTTTCTTTTCGACCTGGGATATGCCGGACATGTGCTCCTAGCTCCTGATTGCTGACACCTCAAAGAACGTCAAAACTGTGTCAAGGGCGGCCCACCGATAAGAGCACAAGCACACCAGGCATACCTAACTTTCTTGCAAGCGGCGTAGTAAGGTTGCATGTGGTACCAGTAGTTCATGTCACCTTGGGCAATGGTTTAGGGTTTAGGGTTTAGGGTTTAGGGTTTCGGGACTCCGGAGGCCGAAGATTTCTCTGAAACTTGGTCGCGACACTTCTGATCCCTCATGCAGCACGGACGGACCATGAACCCTTTTCTTGGATGGCCCCTTTAACACTCTCTTTAAGAATATTCCTAAATTAAATAGGACCCTCTTAAACCCAACAAGGGAAAAATATCAAATGTCCCAAGGGCCTACCATGTTTCAGGGTTCATGAAGTCCCCAAGGAATCAGCAGGATCTCGGGCAGGCAAGCGATGGGGGCGAGAGTGCGAAGCGAAATCGCAGGATGCGACAGCTGCCACTGCTACACCGTACGCTGGGACTTGACTCGAACTAGTGACTGGCACTGAGTTCTAGTGAAGCTGGGACCTAGCAGCTTCGCAAACAACACGAAGGCGATGATTGAACAAACCCGAAACCCTGAAGCCCAGACTCAAAACACAGCGAGTCGCCCAAAGTCGCGGCCAGGACAGTTGCCACGAAGTACCTCATGCAGTGGTGGGACCGCTCGAAACAATGAGTCAAAAGAAGAAGAACACCGGGCATTGCCCTGAAATGAATTCAAACACTCCCTCCTAGCCTCACAAGGAACAAAATAACCCCGCCACCCTTGGCCCCATGAATCAGGCTGCTGGACCAAAAGAGCCCAATATCCCTTACTTGAGGAATATACCGTAAATCATATTTAGGATCCCTGTAATTTGAGGTATATTCCGTAATTACAGGGTATAAAGGGCGCTCTGGGAAATGACCGCAACTGGATGTCTGCCGCAGGGTTGTGATCGACTGGGCTGGGGGCTCTTGAATGCCAGCTGACGCAAGACTCCACAACCCACCGTCCCCATGTGCCCAAAGACCCCAAAACGCCTTAAATAAGGAATACACCCTACATCATACCCGGGATTATCCCTATGTGATTTAAGGAATGCTCCTTAAGTAAGGGGTATTGGGCTGGGTGTGTGAGCCAAGCAACGCAAGGGCTGCAAAGGTGCACCACGTGGGATCCTGCTCCTGCATTCGGGTCCTGCGGGGGGCAACACTTGCCGAGCTTCCAAACAATCCCACACCCCACGGCGGCCCCCTTCTAATAGCCCACCAGCAGCGACTCCACGCAAAGCGCCTCATGCTTCCAAGGCGCAGCCCTCCACCCAACAAAGCGCAGGGTTTAGGGTTTAGGGTTTAGGGTTTAACCAACTATAACCCTGGGCATGGCATGGATCAGAACACACTGAAGGAATGCTAATTGTGAACCCAACAGCCGAGACAGCAAGCCGGTTTCTTCGGCGCCTGTGTGCCATGAAGGCGCACACGGCAGCCAGAACTAGTCCAGCCCCCGCAGAAGACCAAGCGAGAGCTGGGTGAAAGTAGTGCACCTGGAAGGACCTTGGGTAGGTTCGTTAAAGTTGAGTTTTGCCAGGGTTTTCAGGTGACGTGGTAGCCGTGTGGCGGAGTAAGGAATGAAGCTGGGTCAACTGCCTTGGTCTTCTAGTTGTTCCATCAATTTTGGCCCTCCTTGTTGAGAGAGCGAGCGAGCATGTATGTATGTATGTATACATGTATGTACGTATGTATGTATGTATGTGTGTATGTATGTATGTATATGTATGTATGTATGTATATCAATTTTGGCCCTCCTTGCTGCGAGAGCGAGCGCGCACGCATACATGCATGCATGCATGCAGGCATGCATGTATGTATGCACGTATGTATGTGTGTACGTAGGTAGGTAGGTAGGTAGGTAGGTAGGTAGGTAGGGAGGCAGGTAGGTATGTATGTATGCATGTATGCATGTATGCGTGTATGCGTGTATGCATGTATGCATGTACGCATGTATGCATGCATGTAGGTATGTATGTCTGTATGAAGTGTGTGTGTGTGTGTCTCACACTCAGCCATGAAGAAAGAACACAGGTACACACCACCTGTAGGCTCGCTTGGAACCCCATCAAGGGGCAGAAGTGACGACAACTTGTCCGATAAAGCTTGATGTCAGCGGAAATCCCTCAAATAGTGGTCGCCCACGACGCTTGACCAGAAATAAAGCTCCCAACTGCAGGACATATTTCCTGCCATACAAAGGAGCCCAACAGGACTATGTAATAGGAATCAATCCACCTCACCCCACCTCTTTCACAAAGCGTATTAATATGTTCACACCCGGCCTTCATACACGCAAACGCTCGAGCTACACACTAATATATCCCCCAAACGCTCCACTTTCCAAACCTGCCCAGCGGCAGGGCAGCGAATATACCTTGGCTGCAGGTTGCTGCAGGTTGCTACATGCCGCAACCGCATCCCTATAGACGCCCCGAACAGCTGCACAGAGGAGGGGAGGAGGGGAGGAGGGGGTAGGGGGGGAGGGGGAGGGGGGGGGCTTTGTCTTGGTGGGCATCCCAAGATGTTCCTTAACAACCCTTAGTTCAGGTGTGTACCCTAAATAGTTTATACGAAGGATCAAAACTATGAAATAGGGTATATTCCTTAAAGTCCTTCATTAAGAAACTATGGAAGATCTGCGTAGCTCGGGGGGTCGAAGCCGCCGAGGCGCCGCAGAAGAGGAGCCATGGCGCCAAGACGTTGATGGTGATGGCCACCATGTTCAGGCGCTTGCCTCCGTGGCAGCTGGTTTAGGGTTCAGGGTTCAGGGTTTAGGGTTTAGGGTTTAGGGTTTAGGGTTTAGGGCCTCCGCTGCGGCTGCGTGGATTCGGGTGGTAGCTGATGTTAAAAGTGGGCGAATTGTTCACGAGAGGCATACAACCACAACAGAGCTCTTCGGGATAGCCGCCCATGTTAAACCTTAAACGCTAAAACCCTCAAACCTAAAAACCCTAAAACCCTAAACCTAAACCCCAAACCCAAAGAAACTGCCCGCGATGCAGCGTCCGCTCCTGAGCCCTGATATGCACCCATATGGTTAGTTCTCAACATTTATGTCCCTTTTTGGGTACCCTGAATAGCAGGGCCGCCTTATAATAGGGACCCTAAAAAAGGGACCATAAAAAAACAGCCCTAAACCCATTCACCGGCCCTCTTCAGCCCGGAAACTTGCCTGTCCCTTGCAATAGTGTGTCCATAAACCTCTCCTGCGCACCCGATTCGGGAGTTTACGAAAATAGGGGACCCCTCAAAGAGACCCCCAAATAGTAAGATTCCCTGATTAGACGGCGGACCCCAAAAAGGTACCCCTCATTTCGGAAGCCACCAGTTCACACATCGGCACACAACTCTCAAGGCAAGTGTCGCTGGCCGGGTGTGAAGGAACTGCCCTCCTTGCGGACATAGCCCGCGGAGCCACTGGCTGGGTCCTGCTTGGGGTGTTCCTCCATCAAGACCCAGAAGTTTTTTCTAGATCTCTTCAGGCAGGAAGCTTAGGTGGCATGCATGCCTTAGGTAGGGATCTTTCGTTTATGTCAGTCATACCTCCGAGCGATGTGGGAAGACCCCGGCTACCAAGCCCACTAAACCCGAAACCCTAAACCCTAGGAGTGCTGCCAAGCCGCCATCTGGGCAAACAACCCAGGCCCTTTTGGCCGTGGGCGCTTCGTTGCTGCTAAGCCGACGGCTGCGGGTTGACTAATGGTTATAAGGGGTCTAACCAGGGACCCCTCGAAGGGACCCTTTATCTTATTCCCCTATACAACCCTAATAAAGAAACAAATAAATATAAATATAAATATAAATATAAATATAAATAAATAAATAAATAAATATATAAATAAATATATATATATATATATATTATAGTCCCTATATACCGAAGTAGCCCCTGAATAACCACCAAATAACCCCTACGGTCCCTTGTAAGGGTCCCTCCTCTAATCCCTCGAACCCTAAACCCTGCACCCTAAACCCTAAATACCCTTAACCAATTGGTCTTGATGATGGGGCCTCTGGAGGCCGTTCATGCAAATGGATCTGGTGAGTGATGCGGTCATAGCCTCTTGGCTCCTCAGTGGTTTAGGGTCTAGGGTTTAGGGTTCAAGATGCTGCCGTATTGACGCTTTGTTGGTAATCTGGTGCCATGGACAGGAATGAGGAGGCCGACGTAGCAAATGCTGACACTTCCTCCACATATCTCAAGACTCCACACCCCCCCCCCCCCCCCCCGTCAAGCAATAGCGTCATCACAAGCTGCAGCACATGGCGAGCTGCAGATAATAAGAACTTGATTGTCGTATGCTCACAGCAATCTCGCTCAGGATGCCGAACCCTAAACCCCAAACTCTAAACCCTAAACCCTGAACCCTAAACCCTGAACCCTGTTCCGGCCTGGTCCTGAGCCCACAGGCCTTTCCACCACCACCTGTCCAGGTTCGCCACGCTACAGGGGTGGCATAATGCGTAAGGCTAGAACAAGTACTTTACTCCAATCTGGTACCGGCTATACAGGCTCGGCAAAGCTTCGGTCCATCCACCCTACTCTACCATCCGACTCACTGGCAGTTGACCCCTTCTGTCGGCCAGAATTCAAATCGACCCATCATCAAAGCCCACAACACCATAACAATGCTCCGCTTATGCTTCTGGCCTACATGTGGTGCTGTGCACCGAAGGGAGTCCAATACATCAATCGGCTACTAGGCTGCAATGCCCTCTCAGTACAGCCAGGGGAAAGGATGGCGAGTTAGGACAGCTTGGGTGACCGCGCCAGCAAAGGCGAGCATAGCCAGGCGTCCATTCTTGAGCTCGGCCAAGCGCATCTTCTTCTGGCCCTCTTCGTCGCTGGGGAACCAGCTGGTAAGGCCATAGTCACCAGCGACCTCAAGAGAATTCCATTCGAAGACCTTCTTCGTGCAGCAAAGTTCCACGAGGCTGACCCAGAACAAGATCTGGGCATTGACACCTGGCAGTTTCCGAAAATGGGGCTACCCTCTTTTTTTTTTTTTGGGGGGGGGGGGGGGGGGCTCCTATTATAAGGATTCGAGTATCATTGGGTATATTACCCCTATTTTGGGCAATGCCCACCTGTGGCACCCCGGAAGGCTTCATGAGCATCGATGGAGACAGGCACGGCCTCGAAAGAGAACTTCTCGCCCGGCAGGCGAACGAAGTCCGGGACCACCAAGCCGAGCCAGGCGAGCATACAGATGCGGCCGTGCTTGAGCTCCGCCTCACGAAGCCAGGGAACCTGCTCCGTTTTCGAAGAGAAGCCCAAGGGATCGAACTCGTAGCGCCCCCAAGCACCCTCGGAACCCACCAGGCCCTGAGCAAACTTGCCGTTGTCAAGGAGATCGATGCCGGAGTCCTCATAGGCGACGGCCAGCTCACGGCGACCTGCCTTCTGCACCGTGCGTGCCCGCGGGCGTGCTGAGGCGAGTGCAGTGACAGCGATGGCGCCACCGGCAGCAATGGCACCAATGGCACCCACGCCGGAGCCTGCGCCAGCTGTTGAGCCACGCAGCTGCGGAGCAGCTGTTGCGCGCGCACCTGCGCCCGCGAAGCCCGGAAGGAAGGTGGGCGCCACGAGGCCGGCGACCGCCGCAGCGGCGAGGCAAGCTGCCGTCTGACTGCTTGGCATGGTTAGAGAGGAGAGAATCGGCAGGAATCCCACCCCAAAAAAACCTTGAGCCAAATCGGCTCCCTGTGATCAACTTGCCAGCCACATAGCTGAAGGCCCACTTCGCAGGGAACACTGGGGAGTGCATATGGGTCCTTAGAAGCAGGGTAAGAAAGTACCCTAAATGGGGTCACAAGTACAGTTACCACACTTCGAATGACTTACAATCCTACCTATAACTACCCATGACCTAAACCCTAAACCCTAAACCCTAAACCCTAAACCCTAAACCCTAAACCCTAAACCTTAAACCTTCTCAAGCAGGGTTGCTTTCGGGCTTCCAAATCAACTCCAGGCCTTGTTGATCAAAGCGCCGTGGAGGATGTTTAAGGCCTTCTTGGCCTCAGGATTTCGTACGATTTCGTGTGGTCTTAGGCTTAGGGTGTTTCGGTTTTGTGGTTTGGAGCTACGAGTATGCAGTTCGAGCTTTCGGGGGCAGGGTCGGAGGCTACGCACACTGAGTCGCGAATTCTTCGGGCTAGGTCTTAGGCTTGAGGTCGATGGTCATATGATATGGAACTGCTGGCGGAGCGCGATTGAGCCCCACATCTGTGCGTTTTTGAAGCTCACGGTACAGTCGGTCTGCTCGAGCTTTCGCTATGGCTTTGTCATGTCTGACTGCTTTGACCTGCTCCATACATAATAAGCGGCGAAATCTCGGTGGGGCAAACAGCACGCCTTTTCCTCTTGCACCCCTCATGCGTCAAGCACACACGGTCCACCCTCAGCGGCAGGTGCACAATAACTACGAATTGCTTAAGAACCCCGAGATAATAAAACACAAATCTTCCTTATTAAGGGCAATCTAGGGGTTTTTATTATTTATTCTTTTGGAGTTCTTAAGCAATAGTAGACAACTGCAAAAACGAGGCGCGAGCAGCTGGTTTCATGACTGTCACGATGGGAACCATGAAGCCAGGAGAATGCAGGTGATGTAGCAGCATTACTTTGTACACTCGAGTTTAGGGTTTAGGGTTTTCCCTAAACCCTGTAGACCCTTTGTTTTGCATCAGGACTTGTGCAATCGCCTGAAACCCTAAACCCTAAACCCTGAGGTCCCGAAGTTAGGAGGTTAGGAGGCCGCTCTCAGGAGGCGCAGTTGCGATGCTTGTGTTCCTCTGAGCTGTGCATTCGGTACTCGGACAAGATAGCAGATTCTGCCTCAGCCTTGACAACGGAACCCTAAACCCTAAACCCTAAACTCTGTCAGCTGCTTGCGCTTCCTTTGCAGAGGTTGACGAGGACTCTTCATTGGCGGGCGAGCCAGTGTCACACACTCCTTGACAAAAGCCATCGTAAACCCCATAAATGTGCAGCCGCAACTTAACCCGATATGGGCAAGAATTGTGTAAAATCCCTATGCCCAAGCCGAGCCGACACCCTGCATCTACACCGCCCTGGGCTGACTGAAGCCCGCGCAATATGTGAGACAGCCTGTTTTTACAAGCCGTACATACTTTTCACCAATCTTCAATGTATGTGGATGCCTGCTTTCCATTTATCGCTCTGCGTTTCGCTTGGCACCGCGTTCCTCGCCATAAGCGGCCGGCTGTATTCGAATGCATTCCTCCCCTTGTGGAGGTGAAAATTATTCGCCCCTGCTTCGGGCATTTCTGCTAGCAAGTCACGGACGACACTGGGTACGTCTTCATGCTGGGGAGGCCCTAGGCTCTTGATGAGCCCGAAAACTAACAACTTGGTAGCCCAGTAAGCATACTGCAATAAGGGCACCCTTTTTGGGTTGGTTACTTTATAAAGGCAACCCAGAACAAAAAAGGGTAAAGGGTACCACTGGGCTACCAAGACAGCGCCTAAGCACTTAACCAGATCCTACGGTCAGCCGTCCGTATACTATGTACATCACGCTGCCGTCATTCGGCTCAGAGGTGTTCTTCGACGGTTACCTCTTCTCAGAACCCGAGAACGGCACAGCACCACAACACTCACGAAAAAAGTCATACCCAGAATCTACCCCCCCCCCGCAAAAAAAAATAATAATAAGAATAATAATATAAGTAAAAAAATAAAAATAAATAAAAATAAATAAAAATAAATAAAAAGAAAAAAAATAAAATAAAATAACAGCAGCAAGTCAGCAGTTCTACCGGTGCATGCAAGTGCCATGGAGGTCTAGCACATGTCTACACCCTGACCTTTCAGAGCTTAGGGGTTTAGGATGTGGGGTTGGGAAGTTCGCCCTTAAACTAACAGTCCTTAACGGGTATTATAGTACCCCCTATAAGGAAAAAAACCTCTATGAAGCATTGTTCGGGTAAGGGGCAACATCCCAAATGTAGGGTATCTTCCTCCCCCTGAACCCTTTGCTCCCAAACCTTTCTCTACACCTTGACCTTTCGAGCTTCATTTGGGTCTAGGATTAAGGCTCTCCTCCTCCCCCTAAACCCTTTGCTTCCAAAACTGCTTTGCAGAATGCCAAAATCAACTCGGTCAAAAACCCTTTTGCCTAAACCCTAAACCCTAAACCCTACACCCTAAACTCTAACCTCGGCGAAGCCCCCCCCCTTTGCGCGCGGGACGTTTAAACCCCGAAACCTTTGCCAACGAAAGTGCCTGCAATCGACCCTAAACCTAAACCCTAAACCCTAAACCCTAAACCCTAATCCTAAACCCTGAACCCTACAACGAAAAACTCTGTCAGTGTGGAAGCGCGCGCCTTGGTGGCCCCTCAGCAAGGACCGGCCCACCCCTTCGAGGCGATTGGCTTGGGGATTGCGGGGTTTAGGGTTTAGGGTTTAGGGTTTAGGGTTTAGGGTTTAGGGTTTAGGGTTTAGGGTTTAGGGCTTAGGGCTCAGGGTTCAGGGTTTGAAGGGGGGTCTACACTTAGATTCTAGGGTTTCTATAGGGTGAAGAGTGTTTAGCGCGATTGGCTTGGGGATTGAGGAGTTTCAAAAAGGGGGCTCTATAGGGTTTAGGGGGGGTTCAAAAGGGGATTGCGGAGTTTAGGGTTTAGGGTTTGAAGGGGGGTCTCCATGGGGCTTGTAGGGTAGAGGGTTTAGGGCGATTGGCTTGGGGACTGAGGAGTTTCAAGAAGGGGGCTCTATAGGGTTTAGGGTTTAGAGGGTTTAGCTTGGAGGGTTTAGGGTTCATAGTTTTGGCGGTTCATAAGGTTTTAAGGGTTTTGGGGGGGTTCTAGGGTTTTTGGTGGGTTAGGGTGTATAGGGTTGTGGGTTTCTAGGGTTTTCAGGGTCTGAAGGCCTTATAGGGTTTGAAGGGTTGACAGGGTTTCTAGGCCTTTTTGAGGTTTCTAGGGCTTATAAGGGGTTTAGAGGTTTAACTGCATGAAAAAGAGAAGGAATGCGTGAGTTTGGCTTCTTGTTTTTGCCACGCCGCCCGGGGGCTTTTGAATCAAGGGATGAAGACTCGTACCCCTCAGGTTGTACCCCTAGGGTTTAGGGTTTAGGGTTTAGGGTTTAGGGTTTAGGGTTTAGGGTTTAGGGTTTAGGGTTTAGGATTTCCCTTATTATGCTCCTAATATGGCCCTTTATACTACCTTAGGAATCTTTAAAGCGGGTCCCCAAACCCAAAGCTACGACCTTAGGGCCAAGGTAGACTGCCTTGATTCGGGTTTAGGGTTTAGGGTTTAGGGTTTAGGGTTTAGGGTTTAGGGTTTAGGGTTTAGGGTTTAGGGTTTAGGGTTTAGAAGGGTTGTTGGCTTGCCAGCGTCGCTTTTGTACATGGGTCTATCAAGGGCTCAAGGAGGGACCCTTATTTAAGGGACCTTAGGGGCCATTTAGGGGCTATCTAGGGCAAATAGGGGACTCTATAAGGTATGGGAATCAGATCAAGAGTCCCTTCCTCCTTGTACCCCTTAAGTTTAGGGTTTAGGGTTTAGGGTTTAGGGTTTAGGGTTTAGGGTTTAGGACGGAGGAGCTGCGGGCACTATTTTTCTTTTCATTCTGGAGGAGATGCGAATCCTAAACCCGCAGTAACTTACTAGCCCAGTAACCATATTATAGTCAGGGCATTTTTTTGTGGTTGGTTACTTCATAAGGGAACCCAGAACCAAAGAAGGGTAAAGGGTACCACTGGGCTACCAAGGTAAACATCAAAAGGCTCAGGGCGTCGCCTGCTGTAAGCCACAGCAAAGACAACTGCCATTGGCTGAACGTTGGCCTGTGCCACTCTTATTTTGGCGTGAGGTCTTAACAGTTCGGAGTTTCCCTAAACCCTAAACCCTAAACCCTAAACCCTAAACCCTAAACCCCAAACCCTAAACCCTAGAAGCCCTAAACCCTAAACCCTACCAATGCCAGCACCTGCCTTGGACATCACCCGTGGGCGCGCCGCCGAGAAGTCGGCCGGCAACGAATCGACCTGCTGAGCGCACGAGGGTTCTACAATGCGGCTTAGGGGTTTGTAGGGTTTATAGGGTTTATAGGGTGTATTTTATAGGGTTTATAGGGTTTAGGGTTAGTATTAGAGGGTTTAGGGTTTAGGGTTTTTTTTGCCACCCGACTAGCCACGGCAATGCGGGGTCCAGCTTGCGACAATGTCGGAAACGCCTTTCCGGCACTACGCCGAAGAGGTTGTCTGAAGGCTTCAGGGTAGGACATCTTAGGAAATTCTGCGGTCAAGGTGGTTTAGGGTTTAGGGTTGCTCCGTCGATCCTCCCCTCCCCCCCGCAGAGCTTAGCCACGTGCAGTTCGCAATCGCTCAGAGGCTCCGATAATGGGGAATAGACCTTAAATTATAGTAGGATCCCTAATATGATTTAACGTATATTCCTTAAGGCATACTTATTGGAGTCTTTGGGCACAAAGCCGTTGGTTCTCAAAAGGCAAGGTGCCCGAAGAGGTGCCGTCGCGGTTTTCGAGGCAAACCTTCGACGATTTCCAGCTGCGCCGGGAGTGTTCCTGGTTAGGGTTTAGGGTTTTAGGGTTTAGGGTTTTAGGGTTTAGGGTTTTGGGGTTTTTGGGTTGAGGGTTTAGGGTCTCCTGGGACCTCGGGCCACGTCGATGCCGGGACCCATGAAACCCTAAATGGGTCATGGTCCATCTACCCTAATAGGGAATAGAGGGTTTTTGTAAAAAAAAAAAAAACCTCTTTGGTTTTTTTAAGAACTCTAAATGGGCCATGGTCCATATAATAGGGAATAGAGGGTTGTTATATTTAAAAAACCGGCTTTTTGCAAAGAGGGTTTGATAACAAAAAAACCCTCTTTTTGGGTTTTCCTGGGTTTTCCTAAGAACCCTACATGGGTCATGGTCCATATACCCTAACAGGGAATTTAGCGGTAGTATAGGCTACGGTATATGACCCCAATTTAGGGTTCATTGGGTCCCCGGGCTGTCGATGCTGGGACAGCATTCAAGGACACGTCTCAGGTTCTGAAGACTCCGAGCTCCTCAAAAGACATAAGATTTGGGATGTCCCCCCCTTATACTAACAGTCCTTAGTAGGTTGGGATGTTCCCCCTTACACGAGCAGTCCTTCACAGAGATCAAAATAGGGGGTACTGAAATCCCTATTAAGGACTGTAAGTACGAGGGGGAACATCCCTAAGCCCTAAACCCTAAACCCCAACAGAAGATCACCTTAAGGGGCGGAATGGGAGCCTTCGCGGGCCAAGCAGTTGAAGCGCATCCTAACGCAAGAATGGGTGTAGGCACCCGCAAACCCTCTCAAACCCTATATCATAAAGCCTCTAAGCCCCATGAACCCCATAAACCCTGTAAACCCTTCAAGAACCCTGCAAAAAACCCCTTAAAACCCTGTAAAACCCTTCAAAAACCCTGTAAAACCCCCAAAAAACCCTGTAAAACCCTGTAAACCCTCCCAGGCTTGAAATGGCGCCCTCGAGCCCTGAGCCGCTCTGACCGCTAAACCCTAAACCCTAAACCCTAAACCCTAAACCCTAAACCCTAAACCCTAAACCCTAAACCCTAAACCTTAAACCCTAAACCCTAAACCCTAAACCCTAAACCCTAAACCCTAAACCCTAAACCCTAAACCCTAAACCCTGAAGCCCCGAAGCTCGAGCCCTGGATCCGCTCTGGCCGGGTCTCCGGGTGATGAAGTGGCCGACCGACATGGATGCGGAGGGGTCCGCTTGGCCATTGAGGCTGCTGAAGTTTTTGTGGCCTGGTCGGTGTGGGGTTTAGGGTTTAGGGTTTAGGGTTCAGGGTTCAGGGTTTAGGGTTTAGGGTTTAGGGTTTAGGGTTTAGGGTTTAGGGTTTAGGGGTTGGGCAAGATGGTCGAGGGACATGAGGTAGGGTTTGGCTCCCTTCTGAACCAGACCCACGGAGCTGCATCCACACCCCAAGGTGTGAATCCTTTTTTGCAGGTAATCAGTCGAGGGCTGAGGCCTTTTGGGGGTTTAGGGTTTAGGGTTTAGGGTTTAGGGGTTTAGGGTTTAGGGTTTAGGGTTTAGGGTTTAGGGTTTAGGGTAGCTCAGAGCCTTGCATGCAGGGCTTCCCTTTCGTAATTGGGAGAAGCAAGCCAGGAAAAAGCCGAGCACGACCCAAAAGTCAGCCGAAGTGGGGTCCCCGAGACGCCCTAAGTTCACCCTCAACCCTAAACCCTAAACCCTAAACCCTAAACCCTACACCCTACACCCTAAACCCTAACCCTAGACTCTAAACCCAACTCCCTTTTGGCCCAATGAGCATTGAGGAAGGGATAAGAAGGGTCTTTCTAGCTGCTTTGATCGACTGGAAGAGACCCTCCATAACCTCCTGACAAAATTCGGTTTGGGGTTTAGGTTTCGGCCATTCGGAGGGTATGTTGCCCTCGGCCCGACATCCCCCAACCAAGCGCACCTTCCTCATTCGCCGCAACCTGCGCGTTGTCGTCGGTGAGAAGTGGAGGGAAGAACCTCTCCTTGCATCACGAGATGTTGAAGTCTCTAGATCACTTCTGGGGGGTCCCTGTTGCCGTATAAGGGCCCTTGTAGAAGGGTTTAGGGTTGTCTCGTAAGGGTACCTCCGCTCAAGAAAGTGGACCCTGATATAGTTATAGTCCATAGTCCATCCAGACAAGCGTGCGCCAAGTAACACTTCAAGGCTTGCATGGTGTGTCCGTTTCTTGCCGATTAGGTTCTCCGGTAACCTAGGAGAGAAAAGGCACCACTTCCTTACCATGGTTTGTACGAGTTCTTCACCTGAGAAAAGGAATGGGAGGACAGACTGGGCATCCCAGCCAAGATGTGGGCGCAGCAAACTATTGAGTCTGGGCACCAGACGGATTTACGGGGAGGAAGTCCGCCACGATGCAGGACAAGGGGTGCCACATACAGCAATTACTGCAGCTACCATATGCGCTAAAGCCAAGCCTACTTTGCACCAAGCTTGCGAAGCCTCTAACGAATTTCGGCATCACGCCATGCCCCTGTCTGGCTCAGGAGTGCTTAGGGTTGAGGGATTAGGGTGTTGTGTCTGGGCGAAAAGTTTATTTCAATCTGTGGGAAAGCCACGATCGCAAGCTCTTTCCGAAACTATCGCTGGTTAGAGCAAGTCACTGAGGCATCTTACAGGACCCCGTGTAAACCCAGAAGCCCTGAACCACACATCCTAAACCCTAAAGGCCCTGAGTCAGTGCAGGGGTCTATCATGGCGAATTGGCGTAGACAGTGGCATACGGTGGCTCCATGATGAGCAAAAGTCACAAGGGTCTCTTAGGCTGAACCGTGGGCCATCTGCCAGCGAAGAAACGCACGCAGACACAGACACAGAGACACAGAGACACAGAGACACAGAGACACAGAGGCACAGCGGCACAGAGGCACAGAGGCACAGAGGCACAGAGGCACAGAGGCACAGAGGCACAGAGGCACAGAGGCACAGAGGCACAGAGGCACAGAGGCACAGAGACACACAGACACACACACACACACACACAGACACACAGACACACAGACACACAGACACACACACACACACACACACAGACACACACACACACACACACACACTGTGTCACACACTGACGACACTGTGACACACTGTGGCACACTGTGGCACACTGTGACACACTGTGACACACTGACACCGGAAACCCTCACACCCTTTCTTGCTTGCATCTGGTTTGCATCGGCTCAGCCGTACATCCCCTAAATCCTTTAAAAACCAAGCCAAGAGTCCAGCTGCTGCTTGAGCCTCTGCCGCTGGTCCGGGTCGCGCCACCTGAGCTAAAAGGGCTACCGGGTTCAGGGTTTAGGGTTTAGGGTGCTACTCAGAATCGCCCCCCTAGTGGCCCGATACAGGGATTTTCGGCATTAAGTGGGCCTGAACATGTACACCAGCAAAGCGCAATCCTCAGGTCCAAGGACCCCAAACCCTAGTTTGGGAAATCCCAACCCATGTACGCTAGGGTTTAGGGTTGCGAGTCAAATTGGCTTGTACTTACTTCTCCAATAACCCAAAAGTTCATCGATTGGCTAAGGACATGTAACCCCAGTGCTCGTTCGGTAGTAAAGCCCTGTGAACCTTCCCGGTGATATCCCTAAACCCTTTGCAACTAAACCCTTTTGAACCTGGAACCCTAAAGCCTGAACCCTAAACCCTAAACCCTACCCTTTTTAAGCACGGACTGAGGCTGCCGGCAACACCTGAAAGCAGGGCCTTCTTGCCTTTAGCAAGGGTCGCATAAACCCTACCCTAAACCCTAAACCCATCACCCCAATGTTACGGAAGAATCGGCGCCTGGATCTTTGAAGTTTGGGATGCTGTTGGGCTTGTGCGTTCTGTTTCTGTGTTGTTTCTGTTGTGCGCCGTACTGTAGGGCAATGGGTCAGGATAAGATCTAAGCAAGAGACAAAAGCTGAATCGCTTGGGAAGGTTAGGGTCAAAGTGCTGAACCCTAAACCCTACACTTTAAAACCCTAAACCCGTTTTAAGCACGGACTGAGGCTGCCGGCAACACCTGAAAGCCTAAACCCTAAACCCTAAACCAGTCTACTTCTCGCCCCTGGCGTTCGAACATGGACGTCGGACGTGAGTGGGTTGGTTGGTGGTTCTTCACTCTAAACCCTAAACCCTCAACCCTAAATGTTGACTGCCGAAAATAGGGCCACCCCTTATATACCCCCAAATACTCTATAATCCTTAAAAACGAACCCCGAAAAGGGTACCCCAAATTTTCGGAACCCCCCCCCCCCCCCCAAGTCCTAAAACCCTAAACCCTTTAAACCCTTTAAACCCTAAATCCTTTAAACCCTAAATCCTTTAAACCCTAAACCCTTTAAACCCTTTAAGCCCTTTAAACCCTTTAAACCCTTTAAGCCCTTTCAGCCTGGCAGCTTGTAATGATTCCTGGTGAGCAGCTCGCAAAGGAACCTCAGAGTCTAACTGTGGGAGTGAAGTTGCACGGATAAAGGGGTACAAGGAGGGACCGGTTTGGGGTGTAGGGTTTAGGGTTTAGGGTTTAGGGTTTAGGGTTTAGGGTTTAGGCTTTAGGGTTTAGGGTTTAGGGTTTAGGGTTTAGGGTTTAGGGTTTAGGGTTTCGGGTTTAGACCCTTTTTCTTCTTCCCCTACCTAACCCTCTGTGTATACCTTATATAGTCCCTTTACCTAAGTAGCCCCTAAATGACACCTGAAGAACCCCGAAGGTCCCTTGTAAGGGTCCCTCCTTTAGTCCCTTGAGGCCACATGATACACTCGAAGATTGTCCAATATACTCTCGCAGACGATCATATACCATAGTACACTAGAAGATACTATGGACGACTATTATGTGCTATAATACAGTATACTTTAATATACTATGATAGGCGCTAATATGCTGTAATATCCTATAATATACCATACTTTACATTCACATTCCATAACATTAGCTGCATTAGCTGTCTCCGCTTGCACTGCCAGCCGTGTCAAGCTTAGAGGCCCATGATTCCTTGAAAATATCTAGAATGCCCTGCCAGCGCGATGCAACTCTACAGCGGCAAGGTTCTCGTACCTGCTCAGATCCTGCTTCAATGCTACCCCAATACTGTAAATCTCCAGCCTCCAACACGATTCTGAGATTGCAGCCTTAGCAATGCAACCAGGGAAGCCTGCCAAGGTCTTCAACGTCGTTCTCAGTGAACACCTGGGAACCCGTCTCAGTTGGCAAAAGAAAGTCTTTTTCGGGCTTAGAGCTTGGGGTTTAGGGCTTATAGGCCTTTTTTGGAATAGGGTTGAGTAAGCTCATCTGGCACAACTCGAATGGCCGAACATCCGGAGCTGCACCCAAAACCATCCACCCCCCTAAGCCCCAAACCCATGTTCCCATAAGGAGCTTCCCTGACTCCGTATTCGCCTCTTCCCCGTCCCTTCCCCGACATAACACCCTTAAGCAGGGAGCCGAATCGCTTACTTCCTCTCAGTACCCATACTCTAAACTCGAAACCCCAACCCCGAAACCCGAAACCCGAAACCCTAAACCCTAAACCCTAGCCCTAAACCCCAAACCCCCAAGATGCCTCCTTCTCCCACGGCGGGGGCGAGGGGATGAAGGCGGGTGTTTCCTGAAGCGTCCAGCTGTGACTCGGGCAATTGGGTCCTATCTCAAGGGAGGGTTTAGGGTTTAGGGTTTAGGGTTCAGGGTTTAGGGTCTAGGGCTTAGGGTTCAGGGTTTTAGGCTTTAGGGTTTAGGGTTTAGTCTCAAGGGAGTCAATAGAGGGGGTAGAAGGAGGGACCCCTAGAAGGGACCCTTAATCTTATTCCCCTCTGTAACCCCTCTATATACATACATACATATATATATATATATACGTTAGAAAGTCCTATATACCTACGTGGCCCCTAACTAACCTCCTAAATGAGCCCCACAGTCCCTTATAAGGTCCCTCCTTTAGTCCCTTGAGGCAAACTTGGAGCCCTAAGGATGTACCCCTAAGAGGTTCCCCTTAATCTACTCCTAATAATATGGCCCTTATGACTCCCTTAGAAGATCTTAGCACAAGGGTCCCCAAACCTAAGGGTGCAACCTTTAGGGCCCCAAACCTAAGGGTGCAACCTTAAGGGTCCAAGGTAGAGTCCCCCAGGACTAGACCTTGCCAGCTTTATGACGAACTACGCGAGCATTTCTCTCGTGAGGATGTGAGGCTCAGCAGATGCACGCCATACCCTAAACCCTAAAAACCCTAAACTCTATAAACCCTAAACTCTATAAACCCTAAACCACACCATATAGTCAGCAAGAGACCAAAGACTGGTCGGGGTCCCTGAGGTCAAAGCCCATTTCCACCGTGGGTGCGTCAGATGTAAGACAAAGAGTCTAGGGTTTAGGGTGTAGGGTTTAGGGAAAACTCCTAACCTCCTACCTTGGGACTACTTTGGGATGTTCACCCTTGTGCTCACAGTCCTTTGTAGGGATTCTGGTAGCCCCTACTATAATCCCCATGAAGGACGGCTAGTATTAGAAAACCATAGAAAACCCCTAAACTCCTACCCCTCAACCCGACGGACTCCAGGGCAGAGGAGCCCTTCATCGGCCAAGACTCTGCAGCCATCCGATGTCCTTACGGAGTCAGCACGCGGGTAGCTCATGAACCCGGTAGTCCTTAACCCTAAACCCTAAACCCTAAACCCTAAACCCTAAACCCTCCTGAAGGACATCCATGCAACACAAAGAAAGGATCACATGCACAACACGTCTTCTAGCAGGCTTGGGCCTTTACACTACAGTGGTTGCTGTTCGCTAAGCCCTTGCAGTCTCTTCTGGCTGGTTCTTCGTCTTAGTAATACAGTAATAATAGTAGGGAATGAGAGGGCCCTAAAAAATCCCTTGAAGGGTATATACAGGGCCCTCATTCCCTCATTCCCTACTAAGAACCAGGGGGTCTTACTTAGGGCACCTCAAGGCCCACGCAAGCACTGCAAGTGTCCGACTTCTCATACCCTGAGCCCTAAACCCCAAACCCTAAACCCATAAGCCCTAAACCCTGAACCCTAAACCCCAAACCCTAAACCCTAAACCCTAAGCCCTAAGCCCTAAACCCCAAACCCTAAACCCAAAAGCCCTGAACCGCAAGGGGCTCTAGGGTCCATCAAGAGTCGGCCCTTCTACTCAAGTCCAAAAACCCGAATCCCTAAAACCCTAAAACCCCTTTCAGGTTGGGATGTTTTCCCCCTTATACTAACAATCCCTAATCGGGATTATGACAGGGCGTACTTTAGTCCCTAAAATAGGGGGGAACATCCCAACCCTGAACCCTATAAACCCTAAACCCTAAACCCTAAACCCCTTTCAGGCAAAGTCGCGGAAGGACTTCTGCAGCGTCGCAAGGACTGCGCCACCCACAAGTGCCGCGGCCGCGCCGCAGATGTACGGCCGTCGCGGGTCCTCCTCGAACCTTGCTTGGGACAAAAGGTTTAGGGTTTAGGGCTTAGGGCTAGGGTTTAGGGCCAGGGTAGGGTTGAGGGTTGAGGGGTTGAGGGTTGAGGGTTCGGGTGAGCAACCCCTCGAAACTCAGCATAGCTAATTCTCCCAAAATCACAAAATCCAGGTCCAAGGTCTTGCGTAGTGAAGGCAGAGGGGGGGATACATTCAACGCCTAGTCTCAAAACAACCCGCTGCCCCCCCACCAACCCCCCCCCCCCCACCCCCGCCCCGCCGCCTTGGAAAATAGGGAACGCGGCGGCCCATAAATACCAGTCTACGGGTTTTGGAGTTAAAGCAGGCAGGGGTCCCTAACCCTCATTTACCCCGAACCCCGAGCCCTGAACCCTATACACCCCCCCCTATGACTGAGCACCCGGCAGGGCGCTCAGGATTACAGGGCCCACCACCCGGCCCAAAGCCTGGCAGGTTGAGGATTTATAGGGTTTAGGGTTTTAGGGTTTTGGGAATTTAGGGTTTAGGGGTGGGTTTAGGGAAAATGGCTTCAGTGCTCTGGGATCTTGAGGGTCGCTGTGTAGGTCTTAGGGCCTTAGACTTCGGGGTCTTGTCTTTAGATGATCCTGGCATGCAGGGCACCTGCTGCTTGGAGGTTCATGGGTAGTCATAAGTAGGGTTCAACGTACCCAAAATCGGGCTAAAAGTATAGTTGCCATACTTATAACCCTTCTTATAACCACAAACCCTAAACCCATGAACCTCCAAGTAAGGTGAGAAGATCTAGTAAATGCGGGCGAGGAGGGCAGTAAGTTCGGGTGAACAACAGTACTCAGAGCTCTCAACCACCGGGGAAAGTTGGGGAACCTATCCTTAGTTGTCCAGTACCTAGGGGTTTTAAAGGTTAACCTTTGGGATTATAAGGGGAATATATTAACCCAAAAAGGTTAAAGGTTACCTACTCTACTACTAAGTATCTAAACTCTAAACCCTAAACCGCCTGCGCCATCTGCTGCATAGACATGACCTCGGAACAGCCCAACGACTCCAATATCCCTTAATTAAGGAATATACCATAAATCATATTAGGGATCCTACTATAAATTAAGGCATATTCCTTAATTAAGGGATATTGGAGTCTCTGGGAGGATGGTTTAGGGCCCGCCGGGGTCTGATCAACTTCAGTCATACAGGGGCGCGGTGCCCTTCATAAGACTCATTGTAAGTCACGGCCTTGTGACCTAAGCTATCGTGCCCTGTTTTTCACCTTCAAACCCTAAACCCTAAACCCTAAACCCTAAACCCTAAACCCACGTATTAACGTATTCGTACACAACTAGGCGGCCCCCTGGTGTGCAGTATTCTGCTAACCGCGAAGCAGAGAACCCTGAGCTCCAGGCCCCAGCGATGCCTCCCCTGAAGCTCTGTGTAATTGTAGGTTTAGGGTTTAGGGTTTAGGGTTTAGGGTTTCCCTTAGAGCCATTGAGCCATGATCAAACGTACGCACTAGTCTTCCCTTGGAGCTTGGAACCCTGATCAACCTACGAACTATCTCGAAATACTCTTGGGCTTTCTGTTCGCCAAGAAACTCGAAACCTGGTTCCTAGACCCATGAGTGACCTGGGAATAGAAAGGATAAGGGGCTCATAAGAACCTCAACCCTAACAACAGTAACAGGGCATGTTAAGTGCCGACGAAACCCTAAACCCAAAACCCTCTTTACAGCAGGCCTCGCTGCACAGCAGCCCTAAGCCCCAAACCCTATAAACCAGAACCCGAAACCCCAAGCCCGAAGCCCCAACTCCTGAACCCCGAAACCCCGAACCCGGAACCACTCGGGCTCCTGGGAGTTCTGACTCGCACGAGCCGGGGTCCCCACTGCGCCACGGTTCTCATCCGTGGCGAGCACGGAGGTGATGGTGGCCTGGGAAGGGTCTTCTCACATGATTTGTATGTCTAGTGTGTTCTTGAACTTGAAATATTGTTATTGTGTTGTAATATTTAATATACTCTTGTATTCTTTTAGTCTTCTATTCGTGAGTACTTTGTATTGTTCTATGATTATCTTCTGAGACATCATTGTCATTATCTTTGCATTGTTTATATGTCATTCGCATAAAGTTTCATATTTTTTGATTCTGCCTAGAAGCACTCAAGAGCCCTTTTGGCCCTTCGGCTCCATATAGCCCAAAGTAGGTATCGCCTCATCGACTTGACAGAAGCCCGCCATCGGTGTTGTCTACTCTTTGCTTACTTAAAGACCCCCCCCCCCCCCGGAAAAAAAAAAGAGCAAATATTCTTCCTCCACTTTGGGGGGGGGGGGGGGGGGGGGGGGGGGGGTCCTTAAGCACATAGTAGTTGTCTTAAGTCATTTGTTCTTGTTTTTTTGTTTTTTTTGGGGGAGGGGGGGGGGGGGGGGGGTTCCTGGGTTTAGGGTTCAGGGTTTAGGGCAAGTAGTGACCCTGGGAGCCCTGGAGTGAACCTGATCCCAGTGCCGGGGAGTGGCAATGGTGCACCCGGCCACCGCCTGGCCGATGTAGACAATGCACCTGCGGGACATGAACCCGAAGTTTAGGGTTTGGGGTTTAGGGTTTGGGGTTTAGGGTTTAGGGTCCGAAACATCCCTTTTTGAAGCTGGACCTGCTGACTGCCGGACACAGCCCTCCCTCAACATCCCTAAACCCGAAACCCTTACAGCCCGACTGCAGGACCTTAAAAATCCTTGAGCCTGAGACCATGGGAGCTGGGCGGATCGGAGTTGCAATGTCTACTATTTGCTCAAACACCCCCCTCCCCCTCAAAAAAAAAACTTTCTTGCAAGGGCAACGTAGGGATTATTATCCATTTTTGGGTGGGGGTTCGGTAGCAAATGGTAGATGAGGACTTAGAACCCCTAGCCATGGTGGGACATGTTGTTTATACAGTTTCTGGGTTCTTGTTGAGGAACAAGAACTCACTTGCCATAGTGGAGTTATGTAGCAAGTGATATTGTCACTTTGTAAGTCTTTGAACTTAAAACTAACGGTTTAGGGTTTAGGGTTTCGTTAAGTGACTTAACAAGCAGCCGAGGCGCATACCTGTCAGTGAAAACCATATCCAGCCAGCGTAGGCCAAAACCATCTGATGTCGCAGCTGTGGGCTAACCATAAACCCTAAACCCTAAACTCTAAGCCCTAAACCTTAAATTCTGAACCCTAAACCCAGCACCGGGTGCGGCTTTCGGGAGTTTCAGGGGGCTTGTGGGATTTTATGTAGGGGGCGTGGGGGTTCAGGGCTTGGGTTTCACAGTGGCGAAATGTCCTGCGAAATTATCAGGCTGTTGGCGCGCAGGACAGATTCATGAAGTGAGGGGACACCCTACACTACTCTAAGGGTAGATGAACCCTAATCCCTCTTGGTCCCGAAACCCTATGCCAGAGCGACTTGGCACTCTCTGTAACCCTAAACCCTAAACCCTAAACCCTATACCCTAAACCCTAAACTCATAACTCATATTCGATCATTTTTCGGGCCTCAGGGCCTGTGCAGGGCCCTCTGAAGCTCAGTGGCAAGACAGACACAAGACACATTTTTGGGATGCTCCCCCTTAAACTAGCAGTCCTTTAGGATTATAATCGGGGGTACTACAATCCCGATTAAGACCTGTTAAGATAAGGGTGAACATCCTAAGACATACTATCTATATATATATATATATGTGAGAGGCAGAGCAGATTCTCAAGGTCGGGGATGCGGCGGCTTTAGGAAACGAGCCTCGCCGGCAGCAATGAGGGTCATGCCAAGGCAAGCACAGCCCACGTGGCCCAGTAGATGGTCCAGGTGCGGGCATATCCAGATGTTCGTTCCAATCAGGCACCTTATGCAACTCCAGGTGTTGCGACTCGTGCTCCGTTCTGAAAGAACATGAAACAGAACCCATAGGCTAGAAAAAAAGCACAATATGTTGAAGATGTGTGATTTCTGCGAATGTGACATGCGCTTGTGATGTGCGAGTTTTGTCGACGTGATTCTGCAACGTGTCGCTTCTACCTTGTCGGCTGATGTGAGCTAAACTCAATGCACACCGCCTCCGGTGTTCTGAGTCATCTTCAAAGACGCCTAGGGCCCAGCATGTTGAGCACCCATGGAACATGCATCCTTGGGCAGCTGAAAGCCTGCCCCCACCACTGCACATGTCACAGCTCACAAACTTCTTCGCAGGATGCTTGCTGTGTACAGATTCTGCCCCCCAAACAGTCGCCTCATTCAAAGATGCTTGAAGGCTCATGGGGTTCTTGGAGGTTCCCAAAGACTCCAATATCCCTTAATTAAGGATATGCCTTCAATCATGTTGGGGATGCTACTAAAATTTAAGGCATATTCCTTAATCAAGGGATATTGCTAAACCCTAAACCCTAAACCCTAAACTGGAGTCTCTGGGTTCCAGCTGAGAGCGAAGCATGCCGGGCCGAGTTGCAAGGCGCCGCAGCATACTGCGAACCCGATGGACACGGAGTCCAGGCCGAACACAGTGGATGCGAAAAGCCTGCATAGGGTTTAGGGTTTAGGGTTTAGGGTTTAGGTTTAGGGTTTAGGGTTTAGGGATGTAGGATTGCTCATGCTCCAGCTCGCTACATAGGGCCTTGGGCCGAAAAGATGCTGACTGAGCCCCCAAAAAGGGTTTAGGGTTTAGGGCTAGGGTTTAGGGTTTAGGGTTTAGGGTTTAGGGTTTAGGGTTTAGGGTTTAGGGTTTAGAGTTTAGAGTTTAGGGAACCTTTCAAGTCCTGCAGGCCCCCTTGTGAAGGCCAAGCATCGCGAAGATTGCGAAAATCGCCGAGAAGGAAACGCCACGAAGGAATTCAGCAGCGCACACGAACCAGATCTTCAAAGAGAAGGCCCTCAGATCGCGGTTTAGGGTTTAGGGTTTCTGGTTTAGGGTTTAGGGTTTAGGGTTTTGGAAGTTCCCAGATCCTCCAAAAACCCCTCAATGAGGGAACATGGTGTAATTCATAATCATGATCCTTAGCATAAGTTAGGGTATATTCCTTAGTTCAAAATCCCAAACTCCCAACAGTGCAGAGAACAAGCTAGCACATGTATTTATCTAGTATATGTTTAGTCATACTGCCAACAAAAAACGACGATTGCGGACGCCTTACACTAAACAAACCAGTCATACGTGGCAGATTCCCCGGTGTGGTGCCTCAAAACTCGTCGGGGAACGACTGTACGAACCCCCTGAACCCTAAACCCTTTCTGCAACTGGACTGCGGACTCAGCCTAAACCCTAAACCCTACACCCTAAACCCTAAACCCTAAACCCTAAACCCTAACCCTAGGCCTAAACCCTAAACCCTAAACCTAGCCCTAAACCCCAAACCCCAAGACCTCGACCCACGCCCAGGTAAGGTAGCAAGGCAAGGAGCGGAAGCTTGCACTTCTTGGCCTTGCTAGCCACTGACTGCCTCAGGTCTCAATTCTCTGACATATGTTATGCAGGTTTAGGGTTTAGGGTTTAGGGTTTACCCCCCTTTGGGGGAGGAGGTTTGTATAGATCACAAAGGCTGGTGGCCTCTTTATCTGGTACCCTTATACCTTCATACAGCCCCTAGATACCCTAATAAGAACCCCGGATACAATGCAAATATAAAACAGAAACTCTACTTACAGAGACCACCGACCCTCATAAGACATACCCCGGAAATTTTGAAGAAGTTTAGCGGCCGCAAGAAGATTTTGGTTTAGGTTTTAGGGTTTAGGGTTCAAGGGAGTTTGGGGGCATCAAGAAATTTCGAGTCGTCCAGGGAATTGAGGGGCCTCAAGAAACTTGAAGGACAATCTCTGGCATGCACCATCACAGAATGTCGCACAAGGGTTTGGGGTTTGGGGTTTAGGGCCTAGGGTTTAGGGCCCACATGAACCTGAAAAGCAGGTCTGGTTCAGATGCCCGAAACGGGACACCCCACCCCCAAACATCACATCGCATGACGCAGAACAGGGGGTCTCATGGCTAACGCCAGAGCATCGCTAAAAGAGCATCAGTGTCTGCATCTTTGCAACAGCCCTGGCAGGATAGGGTCGGCACTACAGAGCAACTGCAAGGCAAGCACATGCAGAACTCTGCCTTGCACTCTCTACGTCGCCTCGTGGAGAGGATTCCTAACAACTGGCGTGTGGGTATGACTGGGGCAGCTAAGGCTAAGGCCAACAACTTATCGAAGCAAAACCTGATGATCTATAATTCCCCCCCCTTTTTTGAGGGTTTAGGGTTTTTGGGTAGGTGAGGTTGCTGTATTTTATGCCCGGAGCAAAGGTACTTGCTCTGAAGCTAACCGCGGCGTGCGGCTTGGCACTGTGAAGTTGGAGGGACGTCCAGGCAGGGCTTTCAGGAAGATACACCTCAGTCGCGGAGGGTTTTTCGCAGCTCTAGCCTGCGTTCCTTGGCCAATCCCTCCAGACTGAGAGACAGAACTCACCATCTACCCAAAGAGCCCAATATTGCTTAACCGCGCAATAATTGCGGAATATTCCTTAAATCATATAGGGATCCTTAATCTGATTTAAGATATATTGCTTAATTTAGCTATATTGGGCTCTTTGGGTACCTGCAGCAAATGTTCCCCGCATGTGCCGGAAGGAGCATGGTTGACATTCCGGGCGACGCCATCCGCCGAGGCACGATTGCCAGAAGACCAGCTGCCATACACAGAGCTCCATTCACCTGGATAGACTCACCTACAACTGAACGCACAAGGGAGTTGCGAGCGATTCCCGCATGCACGGGCACTCTGACCCCGTCAGGTGTAGGGAAACTACTAGCTTCACTTCACTCTGAGGGTACCTACCCCAGATCCTACGCCGCCCTAGCGCTGCCGGCTCTGTTTTCCTCTTCCCACCTATGTGCTTAAGAACCCCAAAAACAATGCAAACGTATTCTTCCTGATAAGGGTATAATACAGGGATGCGTATCTTTATTTTTTCAGGGGTTCTTAAGCAATAGTAGGTTATGAGAACCCTCAAAAAGTGTGTTGTTGCTGTTGTTCAGAGTTGTTGCTGTTGTTCCGATGTAGTGGGAGAACACATGTGGACGCATTGGCCCTGCCGGTGTAGCATAAGGGCCTGAATAATTAGAATAGGGTCTTGGGGAAGGGGCCCTAAGGGAACACTGTTAGTAACTTATTCCGACCCCTATATTCCCCATATCGCCGTCCCACAAGCATCCTGGAGGCTAGATTCTCTCCTCCACCCCTGCTTGGAGGTTCAAGGTACTTATTGGCCAATTATAACTGCACTTATAACCCATTCATAAGCCCCCTTAAGTGCCCTAATGCAGCTATCAGTACAGCTACAATTCGTCAAATGAGGACCATGAACCTCCCAGTGGCCCACCCCCTCCTTCCCTCGCCCCAAATAGGGTACCCAAGGGCACCCCTTCTTACGGAAGGGTTTATTGTACCCCCTGAACGCTAAACCTCCCCCCAACTCTTGGAAACCCAAAATGGTTTCTCAGATGCTCTATAGCACCCATGAGTAATTAGCTTAGGAACAAAAGTGTGGCTTATAAGGGAACCTTTCTTCCCTTGAAAATGGAAGAAGGGCCTACTCTGGGTCCTAGAAAATATTTTTTCAGATGCTGGAAGGCCACCATGATGGGCACATTTCTGCCCAGCTTGGAGAGTCCACCGCCCAAGCCTGCGCCCACACTTCGGATGCTGTGGGTTTAGGGTTTAGGGTTTAGGGTTTAGGGTTTAGGGTTTAGGGTTTAGGGTTTAGGGTTTAGGCTTACACGGCCGGGCGTTGAGCTTGTACTGTTGGGGGATTTGGGCCCCGAAAAAAGATGAAGTTTCTTTGGATTCCATGGGTTGTCTTGCGGCGAGCATGACTGACTTACTGGGGACCCTAAACCCTAAACCCTAAACCCTAAACCGGGGGACCATGCAACCTTTGGAAACTTCTTCCCAGATCAATCCCAGCGTGAGATCGTTTGATGGGAGGGGCAAGTCGGACGACTACAGGACAGTCTCTGTTGGGTTTAGGTTTAGGGTTTAGGGTTTAGGGTTTAGGGTTTAGGGTTTAGGGTTTAGGGTTTAGGGAACACATCCCATACCATGAAAGGCGGATGCAGTCGGGGTGGACTTCGG